CTGTTCTGTGACTAGTTATTTCTTAACTGGCTGTTCCATAGTTTTACATTATTTAACTTCTTTTGACTATTTGAAGATTGAGGTCAAGATATATCTTCCTACTCAAGTAAGAATTCTTGAATGTGTAGTACGCATAGATTTTCTACTGTTTGGCATCCCCTATATTCGAGTTGCTTATAGCACACCATTTAATCTTGTGTTATATAGTTGCATTTTTGACTGTAGGCAATATTTTCTTAACCATTGCTCACAATCTGATCTGTCTCAGTCTCCCTCACCATTTATTGCCAAAACGCAAAGTCTGGATCATCTAAGATGACTTTTGGTTTTCTCTTGTTGCCATTAACCTCTGTGTAGGTAGCTACTTGATTTCTTACTTTTCTGAAACAATGTTCCACTTATGCACATTTTCTGAAAGTGGCCTATTGTGAAAAAGAATTCACTTTTAATTGGTGTGTTTCTTTTGCCCTCCAAAACTGACAAGGACTTTCTGTCTGATGCCTGCCCTAGTCGCTGTACTGATTTATCATAGGTCATTTGTGATTTTGTGTCTTAAGTGTCAAATGGAATTTGCTGATCTCCTATATCATGGTTTTTCACTTGTCTTGCTTCTAGGCTTTTGATTTATTAGCCATCTGAATGGCTTTCTCTAGTCAAGTCTTCTTTGGAGTGGATTGTGATAAATTTGATAAAGAATCATCAGCAATTCCTAAACAATATTATCTTAGTCACCATAGTTACAGTCCTCCACTCATCTGTGAAGATTGTTAATGAAAACATCCTTGGATTCTCCTGAATCCTGAACTCTTGTATTAAATCTTTACTCTTTCCAGAACTTATTTTTAGTTTCTAGGTTGAAATAATTGTCAAAAGACTTTTTGTACCTCTTCAAAGGTATCTGTTGCTGTTTTTACTCCATGGTGAGATATAACATTAGCAATACTCCCAACTGTGTATAGAAGTGTATTTACTTGTTCTGCTTCTGATTTACCATATAATTTAGTAGTTGTTCCACATTTCAAATTATTTTCTTCCAAGAAGCCCAATTCTGGTTTATTTAGCCCATCTGAAATTAAGTCTTTTTGTCAATATTATTACTAATGTGACATCTAGTTCTATATATGACTGACAAGTTACAGGTTACATTGATATAGATATTGTTAGATATCTTGAGGAAAAACTAGATATTTGGCCTCACTTCTTTGAGATCCTAAGTTGTTCTGTCCATATGACTTCATCGTAATGGGTGGTGTTTCTGACACTGTATGGGTCTGAAAATGTTTGACACCATATACAAGAAGTGCACTTTGTCAAATTGGATTAAAAGGTACCCAATCCACTGGTTTATGGAGATGTTCATCCAGTGCTAATTCTGAAGAACGAGTTTTCCAGGTTATTGATCCAAATAGTCAAGGAAAGCATTGAGCAAATTAACGGACTTCACTTCATGCACCCCCTACCGAAAAACAAAACATTAAGTAGTTTTCACTCAGTGACTCTTCAAAATGGCATACATTCCAGTGATTTTAAGATGATTTGATGATGCACTTTCAGGGTGATTGTAGCAGCCCAAATTTTCTTTCAGTGATGTGACTCACCTGGAATCGCTCCCATTCTTTATGGCTTATCATTGGTGTGATTTGGAATGACTTGTAGGATCAAAATTAATGCGTCTGGCCACATTATAAATGCACTTTCAGTGGCCATAAAGTCCTGGCTGGAACCTGAACCTGGAGTTTCAGGCTCAGATGTTAGGACACTACCCACTACACCTCAGGACATTCCACAGTTGAATAGCCTAGGATATTCAGTTTTTAGTCTCTTCTATAATTAGCAGTTGTTGATCTGTTTTGGAGATTTGTTGAATGCAGGGCCATTCTTAAGTCGAGAGGACATCCTATTGGGAAAAGAAAATGTTTAAAGAGAGATTATTTTAAACTGGCTGGCCACCAGGGAGTTAAGGTTTTCTTGAACTACATCATTAGCTAGGTTCTCTTTGGGTCTTAAAATACAGTAAATATATACTAACAGAGCACTAACTTATGAAGCATCTGGTACGTTTTCAATTAATTGGAAGTAGAGAATAAGTGGAAGAGGTTTGTGTAAGTTTCAGCCTTAACAGCAAGAATTTAAACTGAGTGTCTCAGAAGGAATGTATGTCAAACTCTGGGATGCTGACAAAGTGACCGTTGCTTTTTTTGGCTATTCCTTGCTGAACAAATTAAATGCCTTTTTCATAAATATATTTATAAATTGTTTTCTTAAATGAGAAGATATTACAATGTCTGTTACCTTTTTTTAGAATTGAAGGATCTGGCTCATTTTCTATTCATGATTCTTTGTCCAAATTGTACTGCTTCCCTACCATGGCTACAAGCATCATTGATAATGATGTTGATATTCTACATGTTAATGAATCGTACTGTTACTTTCTCAAGGATATTTTGTGCTTTTGCACTCGAGGACATTTTTATTCTTTCAGGGGAGGGGAATGGGAGTATGGGTGTGGGTGATCACTCACAAAACAAAACTTTGCTCATGTCTAATTGCCCTTCAGGACTTGTTGTGATTTGATTTTGATTTGGTTCATTATTGTTCACATGCACCTAAGGACTGTGAAAAGTTTTGATTTGTGGGCAGTACAGTCAGATCATAACAAACAAGACATACTGATCATAACGTGCTTACAGCGAGGCATAAAAGTACAACTGCACAAAAGCGAAGCCAACATTAAATTGAAATTCTAGAGGTCTAATAGCAGCAGGGAAGAAGCTGTTCTTGAATTTGTTGGTCTGTGTGTTCAAGCTTCTGTATCACCTGCCTGACAGAAGAGAGTACTACCAGGGTGGGAAGGGTCTTTGTCAGCAGCCTTTCTGCAGCAACAAGAAGTGTAGATGGAGTCCATGGATGGGAGGTTGGCTTCCATGATGGTCTGGGCTGGTGTGCACAACTTTCTGTAGTTTCTTACTGTCCTGGGCAGAGCAGATGTCATACCAAGCTGTTATGCAGCCAGATAGGATGCTTCCTATGGTGCATCTGTAAAAGTCGATGAGACCAGCTTTGGGGAATCAGGAGTTATATGGTGCAGTATTGACAACCTCTAAACTGGTGTTGTGGCTATAGTATTTGTACAGCTGGTCCAGTTCAGATTCTGGTCAACTGTAACCCCTAGAGTAATGATAATGACAGGACATTCAATGTTGATAATGTCAAGTGGAGAGACCTAGATTCTTTGTTGCAGATGATCTTTTCCTGACACTTAAATAGCACAAAGGCCATCTAAAGGCTTGTTGTCCAGATATTTCTGCATATGAATATGGAAAGCTTCTGCATCTGAAGGATTGGGAATGGTACTAAACATTTGTGCAATCATCAGTATATATCCTCCCATCTGACTTTATGTTAGAGTGGAGGTCATTAATGAAACAGACAAAGATGATTGAGCCTATTGTTTTCTTAAATGAGCTGATAGTACTATGTCAGTGGTGTCTTTCTTTTTACAATTTTAAGGATCTGGGTCATTTTTTCCTACTCCATTAAGACTTTGTATGTCCAAATTGTATTGCTTCTCTACCATGGCTACAAGCATCAGGAATAATGACATTCTACACAGTACTTAATTACTTTCTCGAGGAAATCTGGTGCTCTTGCACTGGAGAACATTTTTATTCTTTCAAAGGAGGAGATGGGGAGTAGGGGTATGGGCATAGGTGTATCACTATTGAGGAACTCCTGCAATGATATCCTGGGACTGAGATGATTTTCATCCAATAACTGCAAAAGTCCTTTGTAATACACATGACTAACCAGTGGAGAGTTTTTTTCCCTCCAATTCCCATTGACATCAATTTTACAAGGCCTCCTTAATGCAGCATTAATTTATATCAAGGCAACACTTATAGTAACTCTCAGATTCCATTGTCAGGTCCCTAGTATCAGCACCAGAACATTAGCTGAGATACACCAATTCTTTCCCAGGCAGCCCCTCCAACAATTGCAACAATCCCTTGTACCACACATATAACTTCAAGCCCATCCAAGCGGTAAACTATTATCAATTTGGGCAACTTTAGACTACAAATACAAATTTGATTATTGATTGTCAATGCTTTGAAATTAACTGCATGCTAAACTATTCCAAATCCCTTAATGACTTTCCATTAGCTGCCATAAATCTGAGCTCAATCAGAACTCTACTATCCACATCCTAACCTGCATTAAGTCCTGCTGTCAACATCACCCATACTTTGACGTACTGTAGCTTCCTATCAACTCATCACATGGCAGTGTGTTAGTGATCAGAGTTTCTACTGAGATAACACGGTGTAGAGCTGGATGAACACAGCAGGCCAAGCATCATCAGAGGAGCAGGAAAGCTGACGTTTCGGGTAGAGACCCTTCTTCAGAGTTTCTACTGCTCTGAATTTATTTAGCCTAGCCACATTTGCTTAATTGGCCACCTGAACAGTTAATGTAAGTTCTAACTTTGTGCTTCTACTTTTTGCAGTAGCTGAATTTCTCCCTTTTTAATCTCCAAACCTCCAATCTCTCATTTCCAACGATGCTCTAAACAGATTTCTTGTCCCCTCTAATCGTCAAAGCTATGTTGTATTAGTTCCTCCAGACTAATTTGAAATCAAATGTTCACTTTAGCACTTTTTTGTCGAATATCCAACACTTCTGCAACATTATTTCCTTTAAAACTTGTCCCTACGTAGTGCCTCTACTATTCGTCACTTGATGCAATGCGCTGTGGGCTTGCAAACACGAAAAAATATCGCTGAATCAGAGAATATGACTAAATGGCCATTTCGTCTGGGCCGGAGTGGGGTGGATCGGGTGGAAAGCCAATTTTATGCTTCAAAACTAAGAGTTCAGTGGGGATTCAATTGGATGGCTGTAAAACGTGTGCTGTATTGCAGTCTCATCAGGTTAAAATTGTTTCGTCGTGATGTCTCTTGTCGATCTAATCCGCAAATTTTGCATTTTTCTTTTTCTAGGTTTGGATTCATTTTGCACGTATGTAAATCCCTGGCATGCCAGTTCGGTCGTGGTGATGGCTGAAGAAGAGGTGCCCACCCAGCTCTGCGCCAAAGGGGACTGGTTCCTGGCGAGCGGTTCTCCCGTCGATGCCGCCGCCTGTTACACCTCCGCTTTCAGCCTTAGCACCGAGGCGACTGTGCAGCATGTCAAGTCCTTAGGGGAAGCGGGCCTGGGCGACGTGTTGGCCGTGTTGGAAGGCTGGTGCACCGGCCAAAGCTGGGTGCCAAGCCAGGCCGGCAGCGACGAACCTGCGGTCGAGGCCCCCGTCAGCGTGGGAGTGGCCGCCGTCTTCCTGTCGGCGCTGAGTCCAGGCAACCTGACGGCCTCGGTGCTGAAGACGGACGCGCTGCTGAGAAGCGGGCGGCACCAGGAGGCGGTGAGCCGCTGCAACGCTCTGCTCAACGCTCACCCTAGCCACTCGCTGGCACTGCTGCTGACCAGGGCCCTGGCCTGGGTCCTGTCCGGGAGACACTCGGCCAACGGCGTGCTGGACTACATGCAGGCCTTCGGCAAGCGGCGGGAAGAGACCGTGGCGTTCGTCGTCCTCCACCAGAAGAGGGATTTGCCTCAGATCGTGCGCGCCGTCGCCCGTTACCTCTCGCTGCACGAAGGGCAGCAGGAGCGAGATGGCTGCGCCGCCGAGCTGCTCGCCGATTGCCGCCGTTTCCTCTCGCTCGTGGCGCCTCGTGGCGACGGCGCGCGCCCCTTCGAAAAGTGGCGGTTGGCGGAAAGCGCGGGAAGCCCGGAGCTCGCGACGCCACCCTCGGCCGTTGACAGGTCGAAGCCTGGGAAGGTGAAGGGCGCCTCGCTCGTCGTCGATCGGGCCGCTGCCCTCACGGCCGGGGGTCACGCTGACCGGGAATTGATCCACCACTTGGCGTCGGCCTTCGACGGCGGAGCCTCGGGGCGGCCCCAGGCACCTCACGGCGCGCTGGAGCTGGCCAAGCGTCTTGTCGAGGCTCGGTTCTCCGAGTACAGGGAGGCGGTGCGCCGCCGCCCTGACCTGCGATCCGACGGCGACGCCGAACTCCTGCGTCCCGCCCTCGAAGTTCTCTGGCTGGTGGCCCACGTGGAGCCGGAGGCCAAGCGGGAACTGGAGATTCGGCTGGCCGACTGCATGCTCCTCTGCGGGGACGTGCAGGGCTCCCTCCGGCTGTGCCAGCGCCTGATCGCGTCGGACCCGACCACCTACCACAGCACCATCCTCGTCCTCCGCGGGTTCTGCCACCTGCACGGCGGTGAACTGACGCGAGCCCTCGAGGATTTCCAATCCATCCTGGAGCACGACCTGCCGCACCCCGGGAGCTGTGTCAAGGCTATGTGCGGCCGAGGCCTGGTGCGAATGCTGCGCGGCAGCCCTTACCTGACAGCCCTGGACTACATCACCGCCAGCAGGCTGCGGTTGGACGAAGTGGCCCTGTTTGTGAAGTCCTATGTGCCCTGGAACCAGCGAGGTCTCTTGTATAAGGTGCTGCAGGAAGAGGGGCAGAAAATCCTCCAGAAGCAATCCTCCAGCCCCTCGGCCACTACTGCCATAAGGAAAAAGAGAAGTGGGGAGCATGGAAGCCAAAATCCTTCTTTCAAAGAAGGGTACTCATAATCAAAAAAATCTGTAAACTTGAGTTGGATTTCTTTCAGGGGAAACGGCATGTTGGTGTGTCGGATATACGTAGAACATTTTGGTCGGTGTAGAATACATACGACTCAGGAATCAGCTTCCCAATGTTTCTCAAAGCTTTTCATGTCAGCTGTGTGATTCCAGTTGGGGAATCAAACGTGGGGCCACAGTCTTCCCAATAAAAGAGTTGATCGTTTAGGAATGAGATGAAGCAAACTTACTTCACTGTAAAGAGTTTGTGTACCTATTTTGGAATGGCCTGCCAGAGTTGTGGATCCTCAGTTTTTAAACACATCTAAGGCTTGAGGTTCTTGCGAAGATTTGTAGCTCGGGTTGTGGGTGAGGTTGTTTACTTGCTCGCCGATCTGGCTGGTTATAGTTCAGACATTTCGTCACCATGCCAGGTAACATCATCAGTGCGGCCTCCGACGAAGCTTTGTTGTTCTATGGGACCAAAGACCCCAGACCCATGACATGCAGGACCAACGTGTGTACAAATTACGGTGCAAAGACTGCCAAAAACATTACACAGCCAGACAGGAAGGAAACTAGCCATCAGGATACACAAATACCAGCTAGCAGCAAAACGACATGACGAACTTTCCCTCATTTCCATACACTCGGACAATGAAGGCCATGAATTTAACTGGGATGATGTGACCATCCTAGCTCAAGCCAACCATAGACATGCATGGGAATTCCTATAGGCCTGATTCTCCACCCATAATGTAATCAAAAAATATGTGGAATTAGACCCCATATACAAACCCTTGCAAAAAAGAACTGGAAATGACACAAAACCCTCAACAGACCGGATCATATAAATACTAAGCGAGCAGAACAACATTGCTTCATCGGAGGCCGCACTGATGATGTTAGCTAGCATGGTGACGAAACGCCTGAACCAAAACCAGCCAGTTTGGCAAGCAAGTCAACAACCTCACATTTAAGGCTGGATGGACTTTTTCTTTAATTCTCAGCAAATCCAGGGGATGGACAGGGGAAGCCAGCAGGAGAGTGGAGTTGAACTCCAAGATCAGCCTTGTTAGTAGAGAATGGGCCAAATGGTCTGCAGCTCCTGTTTCTTTTGTCTGGGTCTGTTGTAAATTAATTCAAAGAAATTTGACTAGTCAGCCACTGTTGTTGTACTAAGGGATGATCTGATGGTGGATGTATTTGATCTGTGGTCTCCACATATCTCTGACAATTGATCTTATCTCTTGTGTGTGTTCCTGCTGCTGTGTGCACATTGATTGTCATGCCATGCATGACATCTGTTTCCTGAAGCTACATAACTAGAGAAAAATGCATGCCAGGTTGTTGCGTCATGTTTCAGTTTGGTCCAATTGGACTATCGTTGCAGCGTAAAGTAATTCTTTTTTGATAGCAATGCAAATAAAATGAATCAATGTTGAAAGCTATATATTACAGTACTAGAAACATCACAGGCTATGCAGTTCACTGTGTCCATGCAGATTCTCTGCAAGGGCAACTCAAGTCTATTCTTCAATTCTTCAGCTGCTTGTCTAATGGGATGAAGAAAAGTTAAGGGGACTGCTACCATACTTACCATATCCAAGCAAAGCAAGCTGACCGAAGCCCCTGGAAGCAAATAGAGACCACAAAAGTGACTTCTCGTGCCCCCACTCTTGAAAGCAGCCAGCTATAGTCTGGGTGTTACAGAAGCATGGATCCAGAGGCCTACCTGCAGTGTGACCAATGCAGAGTGATGTCACAAACTACAAGATGCAATTTTTTTAATTCACTCATGGGACATGGGTGGCACTGATTGGCCAGTATTCATTGCCTGTTCCTAATTGCCTTTGAGAAAGTGGTGGTGAATTATTGTCTTAAACTGCTGCAGTACATGTACTGTAGGTAGATTCACAGTATTGTTAGGGAGGAATTCCAGGATTTTGTCCTAAAGACACTAAAGGAGTGGTGATCTATTTCCAAGTTGGAATGGTTGGTGGCTTGGAGGGGAATTTGCAGCTGGTGGTGTTATTATGTATCTTCTACCCTTATCCTTCGAGATGATAGTGGTTATGAGTTTGGAAGGTGCTATCAAAGGATCTTTGGTGAACTTCAGCAGTGCCTCAGATAGATGGTAAAACACTGCTGCTCCTGTCAATAATGGAGGGAATGGATGTTAGTGAATGAGGTGCTAATCAATTGGATCAGAGATAGTAGGAACTGCAGATGCTGGAGAATCCGAGACAACAAGGTGCAGAGCTGGATGAACACAGCAGGCCAAGCAGCATCATAGGAGCATTCAATTGGGCTGCTTTGGCCTGGATGGTGTCAGACTTCTTGAATATTATTAGAGCTGCACTCATCCAGGCATCTCATACTCCTGATTTGTACCTTGAAAATGGTGGACAGGTACTAGATGTGGAATGATGAAGCTGGATCATCTAAAAAGAAACCAAAAATCTGTAATTTCTATGCAGAATGGGGAAAATGAATTTCTGTTCACAACTGTAAAAGTTAAGATTATATTCTTTATATGTCACCAAAGTTATCAATAAATAAAAGGGGGCATTTGGAAGAACATCACATAACAAACCTAAATTCAAAGATAGTTTTCCCTTGATCAGCATACTTAAGACAAATTTTGAGATAAAGGCTGTTTTAAATGCTCAACAGTAGTTCTCCTTTAAATTCTAGTCATAAAAGAAAAGACCTGAACTGCAGCATCTCACTTTCGCTATATCCTGGCAAAGCATAAGAAATCATTCACAGATGGCGAATAATTAAATAAGCAATGATTGTGACCATTGACTCTTTATTTGAAGACTTAAGAAATAAGAAGTAGTAATAACGGCAACCTCAACTTGTCAGTTAGTGTTTCCAAAGTGGCATGATGAATAGAATCTCTGTCCAAAGAGGTCTTACAGCAACACCAGCATCATCTGAAGGGCTATGATTGTTTCTTGCTGCAGTTCAATGATCCATCAACATGACAAGTTGTCCATTTGTTTTGTTTTGTGTATATGATCTTTAAGAACACAATAAAAAAGGATCATCACATACATTGCTCCTTAATGAGAGAACAAGGGGTGAGGATATCCACATTGAATTCAAAATGTATGTGTTGAGAAAAATCATTCTGATCAAAAACTTGGCTTTCATCATGTCTGATGCTGCACCAGCTATGTTTGGTGCAAATGGGGGCTTTGTTGAATTTAGCAGAAGTGAACCCAATTTTCCCAATTTTGTCAATTAGCACTAGATAATCCACCACGAGCATTGGACTTTACTCATGTAATGGAAGTTGCTGTTAAGATTGTAAACTCAATTCGAGCAAGAGCCTTTCAGCACTGAATTTATTCAGTAAGGCCTTAAATAAACAATGGTGCTTTCAGTTAACTAATCCTGCATGCTAATCTGAGGTGGTTAAGTCAAAGTAAGGTCCTGCAAAGGTTAGTAGATCTGATGCCTAAAATTGTTAGTTAACTGAATGAATTGTGCAGCAAACTGTCAGACAATGTTTGGTTGCTCAGTTTCAGGTTCCTTACAGACAACATCAAAACTGAACAGGCTGAACTGTGAACTGCAGGGAAAGGTCAGAGGCTTAATTGTGAATGCATTTAAATTGAGACAGTAGTCTTCCCAATTTAAAGAAAAAAAATACTGCAACGCTTTCCAAATCTGGCGAAAATACTAGGAAAAACTCAAAAGACAATGTAAAATGGTTTCATCCAGAAAATCACTGCGCACTTTAGGTTAGCAGGGGAGTTCAACAGCTGATTTCAAGAATTTGATGGAATGGCACAAACTGATATTTGACTTCATTCCTTCAAGCAAATATTGTTGGGTTGGCTACCAAAATCCATCAGGTGTTGGATGTGCAAAGCAGTGGAGTTGATATGGAGATAGTTGCTGTGCAAAAAGATATTAAGTTGAAAATCCGATCAGGGAGTCAGACTGAGAAAAAGCTTACTTTGCCTTCACATACCTGCTCTGAGACAGCATTCTTCAAAATGATGATAATCAACTCCAAGTAATGTACCGCTTCACAGTTGTTTGATGGACTGCATATGACTAGCAGTCTCAAACTATAAAGCTGATCTCAAGACAAAGGCAAATATTGTTACAAGTATTGCACTGGTTTGGTGAATAGAGGACAAAATGAATAATTACATGTACTTGGTCTTAGAGTGATGAAGCACTACAAATAAACTTTATATTTCCTTAAAAGTAGATCCTGGGTTGACCTTAAATTTTTTTAAAAATCGTGTGTTTAAAAAGGTTGGAGACCACTGCTTTAAAGGGACCTTGGTCTTCCATCTTTTGAAGTCCTATCTTAGCAGACTCTAGTATAACTTGGATTGCAATGGAATATGTTGCTTGGTCATCCAAATAGACTTCTGAACAGTGCAATTGTAAACTGAAATGGGATTGCAGATTCAAAGAAGACGAGAGCTCAACAAAGCCTGACATGGCCAGGAAGTGTTCATTTTGCTGAAACCCAGGATTGAACTGGGGTCTTTTAGATCTTCAGTCTAATGCTCTTCCAACAGAGCTATTTCATCTGGCAACAGGGAGGTGATAGCCGAGAGGTATTATCGCTGGACTGTTAATCCAGAGACCCAGGTAATGTTCCAGGGACCTGGGTTTGAATCCTGCCACCAGTAGAAGGTGGAATTTAAATTCAATAAAGATCTGGAATTAAGAGTGTAATGAAGACCATGAATCTATTGCTGATTGTTGGAAAAACCCATCTGGTTCACTAACATCCTTTAGGGAAGGAAACTGCCATCCTTACATGTGACTACAGATCCACAGCAATGTGGTTGACTCCTAACTGCTTGCTGGGCAATTAAGGATGGGCAATAAATGCTGGCCTACCAGCAACACCCTCGTCCTGTGAATGAATTTAAAAAAGCTCCACTGGTGACTAATTAATTTTGATTTAGCAACTTCTGCTTTGGACCAATGCTAATTTAAGTTTGTGAAATACCCTGGAGCCTATTGCACTTTGGTTGAATTGTACTGGTTTCAGCATAATTCTTTTGGTTCAGGCATTCAAGTTAATATACTTGAAGCTAATGTGAAAATATGTAACTATTCCTGCACGCTTATGGTAGCTTTGAATATTTACATCATTATATTTGTACAATCTGATTTGCAAGAATTCAGTTATTTTCAGATTTTGGGGAGTATAAATTAAAATTAGTTTGATTTTGGATTGTCACAGGACTTGAACATTTGTGCTTATTTTTAAGGTGTAATTCTGGAATATGCTAGGTATTGTGATGTACACTGTATGCTTTATATATATTTAATATATATTTTCAAGTTTGTATTTTTGACTTATTGATATTTAGGTTTTGTGTGTCTGAAGGGTTTAACCATTAACTTGTAAATAGTTCTGTACCATAGTGATTTATTTTAAACAATTTGATAGAGAAGTAGCCTCCAGGGGTTTTTGCTTATATTAGCAGTTTACCACAAGCAAGGTAAACAGTTGTGCATTCAGATTTCAGTCAAATAATTCTTGATTTTGGGTTTTTCAAACTTGTGTAAAACTCTCATAGTTTGGAAGGAGAAAAGGCAGTTTTGTTTGTTTGGGGCAGGTCAGAAATTTTTTGGATGAAGATGAATGGTTAAAGCAGTCCTCCTGAGAGACTGTGGAAATAGTCAAATGAATTGCCTTCAGTAAGGAGTTTAGTAATAGCTCCAGACCAGGAGTCTTTGGATAAAACCTTAACAATGTTATTTGAAGTTGAGAATATTGAAACTCTAGTAGATGCATACTCCAGGGAAAGGTTTCAGATTTTCCAGCCTGGGTGTTAAAGTCACAGTTAAATTAAACGTAATGAGATGTTAAGGGATGGGAACTTTCTCTGTGCTAAGTACTATATTGGGGGTGCTTTTGGGTACAGTACAGGTGCGTGGAATTAATGGGATTGCATGTTATCATTTGTTTTAATGTTTATGCTATATGTAAATAGTTTGGTTTAGTGTGTTTTACCTTTTAATTTATTTTGCTTAGTAAACTTCTGGGTTTTTTTTTTTGTTAAACCCAAATCGGTAACCTTGCATGCTTACATTTCATTGAGGGACCACTTTGTTAAAGCTAATGAAAAAGATCAAGCCATATCTCAGTCTAGAATCTGACATATCCAGTAATAACATCAGCTGGGATCATAATAGTGTATAACTGGTCATTTTATTTTTCAAAGATCAAAGTGTAGCACCTGCAAAGCAACTCAGTGCTTCATGGTAAAATCACCTTTAATGTACGCCATCCTATGGAAATATTTCCACATGCTTCACCTAAATTATTTATTTAACTGGAGTATGTTTCAGCAATTCTGCACCAACATGCCACAGTTGCCTAGCAATTTATGAACTAGACAATCCAGAGTTTGAGGTCAGTTGTACCGTGGCAGTTTGAGAACTTTGATTTGATTTACAGCTGGTAATTTGAAGACTGGCAACAGGTAAAAATCAGATCCACTGTAAAATGCCAACTTGTTCACTAATGCCATTCAGGAAGGAGAACTTGCTATTCCTGTGTGGCCTGAACTAAATATGACGCGGGTCTTGTTCTGCATTGGTCAACTCTTTCTTACTGCCCTCAGAACAGCAAATGAGACTTTTTTGGTGTTACCCATAACTGAAAACACATATGTCAATAAAGTGTAATAATGTGTTTTTGAGGATCAAAGGTAGAACTCCATTTTGTCCTGTAGTTACATGATCTGTGGTTCTGTTGGTAGCACACTTACCTCTGATTTAGAAGCTCATGGGTTCAAAACCTCTTTCAAAATGTACATTTTTAATTAACATATTTTTCGAATCAACCTGTTCAGAGATGTTGTTATACAGCTACGGAGCAACGGGGACTTGAACCCTGGTGCCTTGGTCCAAGGGTAGGGATTGATTTTATTGTTGTCACATGTACCAAGATACAGTGGAAAGTGTTGTTTTGTGTGCTGTACAGGCAGATCATATCATACAAAGTGCATCAGGGTAGCAGAATGGTGTGCAGAATACTGTGTTACGGCTGCAGAGAAGGTGCAGAGAGTGAGAGATCAGAATTAACATTTGAGAGGCCTGTTCAAAAGTCTGAAACTGCGAGGAAGAAGCTGTTCTTGAATCTATTCGTACATGCATTCAAAATTCTTTATCTTCTGCCCGACAGGCCCACACCCCTTTCACAATGTAAGCTCACAGATCTAAGCTGATACACCTACTCAGTACTTAGGCAGTATCACATTTTCTGAGGTGCCATCTTTCAGAAAAGACTTTAAACTGAGACCTCATTCAGCTTTCAAGTGTGTGTAAGAAAAAATCTAGTGGCACTACTTTGAAGAAAAATAGAGCAGTTAGCCCCATATGTCCAAGTTGAATAGTAACAATTTGCTGTATTGATTTTGAACCAGATTCCACAAATGTGCTCCATGCTTGCCTCTTGGTCAGTAATGTGCAAAGTGTATAGTTGGCATAAAGTTTTGACAGCTAGAGCCCAGGGGCCATAAGTGTTATTTTTTCCCATTCACTCTTGGGACATGAGCATGGCTGTCTGGCCAGCATGAGGAAGCAATGGCCTAGAGGTATTATCAGTAGACTATTAATCTGGAAACCCACGTAGTGTTCTGGGAACCTGAGTTCAAACACTGCCGCGGCAGATGGTGGAATTTGAATTCAATTTTTTAAAAAATACACTGGAATTAAGATTCTAATGATGATCAGAAAATCATTGGGAAAAACCTGTCCAGTTCACTAATGTCCTTTAGGGAAGGAATTCTACCATCCTTACCTGGTCTGGCCTGCGTGTGAGTCCAGACCCAATCAGGGATGGGCAATAAATGTTAGTCTAGCCAGCGATGCTCACATTCCATGATTTTTACTTTAAAAAAAGCAGCCTGCCTCTAGTTGTCCTTGAGAGGGTGGTGGTGAGCTGCCTTCTTGAACTGCTGAATTCTGTGTTGTAGGTTGACCCACAGTTCCCTTTGGGCTTTTTTAATCATGGTAGAAATTGACAAAAATGAAAGGCTTGCTGAGCCATTTCAGAGAGCAATTGAGAGTCAACCAAGTTGTGGAGTCACATGTAGGCCACACCAGCTGAGTACGGCTGATTTCCTTCCCTGAAAGACATTTGTGAGCCAGATGGATTTTTCCATCTGGCAATGGTTTTGTGGCCATTGATAGATGATTAATTCCAGAATTATTTTTTAAATTGAAATTAAATTCATCATCATCTGCCATCAAGGGATTTCAGCCCCGATCCCCAGAACATTAGCTGAGTTTCTGTATTGATAGTCCTGTGATAATACATTTTCCACTGCCTCCTCACATTGTTAGCAGTATTTGGCTTTGATTCTTGACTCTAGGCTAAAATGATAACTTCTGATTTTTAAAGGTAATGGTCTTGCTAATTCAATCCACCTACATTTGTTTACTCCTAGAGATGCAATGGGTGTTCATTATTTGGCTTTATTGCTGCTTGAGCTGGAGCCATCCGATGAGGTTTCCCAAATTCTGTCTGCAGATGCCCTGTACCAGCTCGGTTCTGTGGAAGAAGCTCACAAGTCGTTGCTGGGTTCTCTTGGTAAGAACCCTCAGCATTCTTCAATCTTGGCTCGGCTTGCCCTGCTTCAACTGAAAAAAGGCTTTCTGTATGACGCCAACCAGGTATGATAACCAGGATGCTGGAATCAGGGTGTTTAATATGAGGTGTTCTTCAGTTTTGTGTTCCTTGGCATCATTGATTTGTTGTTGTGGAAGACAGAATGCCTTTTCGATGACCTGATCAAAAATGAGTTTTAAAGCAGATTATTGATTGACAAATCTATAGATACGTATAGCAACAAAAAGTAGTCATTCACTGCTTCATATTTTTACAAAAAAATTGAGATATGAACATAGCTGGCTGAGTCAGCAAATTTTACCCATCTCTAGTTTGCGTTTGAGAAGGTGGTAGTGAGCTGTCGCCTTGAGACACTGTATTCCATATCTGAATTGATATGTTGTTCAAACCATCTAAAGATAATTGCACTCACTCACTATGGTACTATGTTCTCCTCTGCTTCAATGTTTATCTATTCTTTTAACAATGTTCTCAGCCTCTTACCACTCTTTATGATCCATGCCTTAATGAATTGAAATACAATTTCCTGAATCCCTTTTCTCAGTGTCAGATTCCAATGAGATGTTTTGGTTATGGGAACATAAAACTTAAACTTTGCATAACAATTGAGGTTGAGTGGCATCCAAAGGATTAACAAAACCTGAGTTATCGAAGCAGATAGTATAAAAGTGATCAGAGACACTTAGACATGTTTTTAGAGAAGCAAGGGCTCATTGATGAGGTGAGAAGAAGAGACAGTACAGGTGTGGAGTTTTATCTATGCACATTTTATTTTGGTCGTCTGATTTTTACCTGTTTCAAGGCTTCTAATTGAATTATTTTTGAGGGAAGTTCTAATGATATCTCCAAAATTGTAGCTGTTAAAATTTTGGTGTAATATTTGATATGTATAGAAAAGCCCATAGCTTTTAGAAGGCAACCCTAAGTCTCTTTACCACAAGATGGCACCAAAACCACAGATTACAGTATTTCTTCAGTCAGCCAAAAAAGTGATTTTTTTTTAAAATTGCTTCAATGCGACATTCAAGGGGTCTTTGACAAAATTTGGTTATCAAATATACTATAGAGAAGTTCAGTTTAAATCTGAAGCCATTTGGGAAGGATTTAAGCTAACTAGAGAGAAAGCTGTGAAGTGAAATGGATATAGATTGCAGATTTCATTCAAGTAGTATGTAGGTAGTTGATTTTCTGTATGATAGTATGGGATTCATGAATGGTACTGAGGTGTGTATACTGTATTGGAGGTAATTGGGCATTGTAGCAATTGTATTGAGGAATGGTTATGCTATAGAACTAAATGAAAACAGAAAGACTTGCATTTGTAAAGTGCCATTCACTACTTCTGAATACTCAATATATTTTCCAGCCAGTGAAATGTTTGAAACATCGACACTGTTAAATGGGCCTGCATAGAATTTTGCTGAGGAGGTGCATAATATGAGTATGGTTACCTGTGGAAATATGTCTGCAGGATGAATGGAATATTGCCTATCACTTACAGCAGGAAATCTGAGCGTGTTGGTGGGGGCACCAGAGTGCTAACAGAGTGTTTCCTGCAGAGCTTCCAGTTGAAGAACATGTGGGAGCGCAGGTCACCAGCTCCAAAGTTTCCATTTTGGTCATACTGAATCACCAACTTTTCCACATCATTGGATCAGAAACATTAAGCTCTCCAGTAGACTGCTCAGACTGTACCAAATGATGTATAATTTTTTTATTCTGTTTGATGTTAATGCAATCTCCCTACTCCACATCTCATTCATCTTCTACCACCTCCGTTACTTTGTCTCTAACTTTCTTCCCCCATTGATGAAAATCTAAACTACAAATTCTTAATCTCTGACCTTCCTCCACATCATATTGATTCCACCTATGCAGGAAGTACAAATACTCCTTTATTTCACTTCTGTACCAAATCATTGCATTTTTTTTAAAAATCTGACTGTATAAGTTGTCAGAAGCTTAACTACATCTTATCTGAAGGATCATCTCTACTGAAACACAAAGCTTATATTCTGAGTCTGCGTTATTGTTACCAATACTACTACTCCTATTTTAACACCACAGCTTTGCATGCTTTATAACATCCCCAATCTTCTGTTGTTCTGTCTTCTCTTTTGTATTTGAAACACTTTCTTAAAAAAAACTGCGATGATTCATTGTACTGAAATTGTAGATATAGTACAAGGATATGGGCATTTAGTCACAGACAGCCCATTACTTGCAATTCTCCTTCCTTCCATTTTTCATGTACTTCTGCTCTTCTTTTGAAATTACTTTAAACTAATTTGACCAATTGATTCTTTCTTGATTTTTGAAAAATTGGATTGGAATTGTTGGAGTAGATTCCTCACCCTGTGCTGTTCTTTTATAAAGATGTAGCACATCTTCAGTAGATGGCTAACTGATTTCTTTTGAAAAAGGAGCATTAACTAACTTCTGGAATTAATTGAAAGTACATCTTGCATTCATGAAAGGAAGGGCAAACTGAATAGGTCTATTCCAGAGATTGAAAGCGAAAAGAAAAATTTTGTCTTGAGCCTTTCAACCTTTGAACTATTCTAATGTGTTTTATTCACAATCAATTTATATTTTAATTATCTCATTTATGCAAGGCAATGTTATAAATAACTGGTTAATGTGGTTTTTTGGTGATGGTTCAGAATGGACTCCCTGCTTCCCCAAAAAGTGAATCTTTTATAACTGCCTGAAAAGGCATACTGGGTCACAACTTGGTGCCTCGTCTGAAACAACTTTCTCAGGACTTTATTGCAGAGGAGACCTGGATTATGGGCTTTATATGACAATAAGAATGAACATGGAGGCTTTCTGGCTCCAGTCCTGCTAAGACCATGGGAACGTCACCTTTCAAACACAACTACATGATACTAAATTGATAGTTTTATGTCGGTTGGAAATTAGACAAAAATCCAGTTTTTTGACAATGGATAACATTAGACTGTTAATTCCAGATATTTATTGAATTCAAATTCCACCATCTGTCGTGGCAGGATTCGAACCCAGGTCCCCAGAACATTATATGGGTCTCTGTATTAACAGTCCAGCGATTTTTTTTTAAAAAAAATTAGGTCATTGCCTCCCCACTGTACTCTACGGTGACCTAGTCTCACTGGGTTCAGAAAGTTTTCAGTTCTGGTTGTGATCGCGCTGTTGTTCTCCCACCGCTACCAGCTGTTTTAGTTTTGGCAGGACCGGATCTTTTGGACCGGTGTCCAGAAGGTTTAAAACCAGAACAGACTCTTCCAGTGGTCGCACCACCGGTGGTGTATCTGCCAGCAGGAGGTGGCTCAAGGCATTTGCATTTGTTACTTGGCCTCCTGGACAGTGTTCCAACTTGTAATTGTATGCACTTAGAATGAGAGCCCATCACTGAATTAGACCTGAAGGTATGGGTGGCACAGCTTTTTCTCTTTGAGTAGCCCTAGCAGGGGTTTGTGGTCTGGTACTGTTACAAATTTACATAGGTAATGGTATTGGTGGAATTTTCTCACACCAGAGATGACTGCCAAACCTTCCTTCTCTATTTGGGCATGTTTGCGCTCTGTATCAACCAAAGTCTAGAAATCACACGCTATTGGTCGTTCCTGTCCTTTGGGCCATCTGTGAGCCAACACTACCTTAGTACCTTACGGGAAGGCTTAGCATGTCAGCACCAGATCTCATTTGGGATTATAGTACGCCAACACGCTGCTTTGTCACTTCCCTAAAAGCTACATCTTGACTCTGAGACCATTTCCAAGGCTGACCCTTTTGGGGCACTTTTGATCTCCTGTTTTTGTCTTCCAATGGGTGTTGTTGACTTTGTAGCCCAAGTAGGTCACTTGGGCTGCCTGGAACACACATTTTTCCCTTCTAAAGCGTATGCTCGCCTTGGAGAAATGTCTCGGGACTATGACGAATTTCTCTAAGTGCTCCTTATTGGTCTTTCCTGTTATTAGCAAGTAAATGGTGACCTGGGATAGACCTTGTAAAATGTTCTCCATCATCCGCTGAAAAACTGCAAAGGCTGATGATTCCCCAGATGGCAGTCTCGTATATTGAGACAAACCCTTATGCGTATTAATTGTAGCATACTTCTAGGAATCCTCATCTAACCATAATTGCAAATACACATGGCTCATGTCCAGCTTCATGAAGGATAGCTTCCTCTGCCAGCTTTGTATACAAATCCTCTACGCAAGGGTTTGGGTATTTATCCAACTATAAGAAGCATTTTACTCTGGTTTAAAATCCCCACAAAGGCGAGCCGACCTGTCTGGCTTCACAATCGGTACGACCATTGCTGCCCATATTGCAAACTGGACTGGTTTGATGATTCTTCCACTTTGCAGCCTCCTGATTTCTGCCTCTATTTTTGTACATAAGACAAATGCACTGGACAGCCCTTGCAGAATTGTGGAATTGCTTCCTGGTTAACATGCAAGGTGGCCTTGACTCCTTTGATATTCCCTAGACCATCCTGAAAAACATCCTGGTATTTAGGACTTCCTTCAGGCAACCATTTTCTAATCGAAAAATGTGGAGTCAATCAAGGTGAATCTTTTTCAACCAATTCTACTCCATCAGGCTTGGGCCCAAGCCTTTTACTACAGTCAGCGGTAACTGAACCAGCTACTTCTCATACGGGTTCGGAACCGCAGTTGTACCCTTAATCTGTGAATGTTCCCGGGTATAGGTTCTCAGTCTAGCTGAGGCCTTAAGCGAATGTAAGGGTTGGAATCCGGAGCGAATGTTTTTTAAAGACTGGTTCTACAATCATTGATACAGCCACACTGGTATCAACCTCCATTTGAACCAGGTGACCATTTAACCAGACATTTACTTGATTGGTTCTGATTTCAATGTTGCTCAACAATTTAATTGTTCCAAACCACATGTAGGTGGGCTTTCCAGGGTGTACACTCTCCTGGATACTGGTCTGTGAGTTCTCTTACTCAGTTCAGACCTAGTGGCACTCTTTTGCTGTCTCGAGTCCGCATACTGGCAGCAACTACAATGGCTTGGGAAATGTTAACTATTTGGCCAAGGCTTGGTTTTGATTTGGGCTTTTGCTGTAGGCTGACTTAGAGTCCCTCTGTTCAGGATATGCCTTAAGTGAGGCTACACAATTTCCTTCACTTGTGATGGTGTGCCCCAAGCTCAGTTGGCCTGGCGAGGGTGTCCACTTCCATCAGCATACCCTTTAACTCATATGCTCCACTTGCCGTATTTTCTTATGATGAAGCCAGTTGTAGTGCGTGTTTGAAGTCCACTTGGAGTTCAGCTAGTAGGCACTTTTGTATGGTTACATCATTAATCCCATGTACCAAATGGTGTTTCAGCATCTCATTAATGGTTAAACCAAAGTCACATGTCTCTGCCAGTTGCCTTAACCTCGTCAAAAATCCCGACACGGATTCCCCTGGTTCTTGAATAGCCAAGCAAAACTGGTGCATTTCATAATTTGAGGAGGCTTGGGGTCATAATATTCCTTAACTAAATCCTTCAACTCTTGAAAGCTTTTAGTATCTCGTGCCTCAGGGAAAGTTAGGCTCCTAATAACTGAAAAAGCTATGGGTCCACAGTTGTCAGGAGAATTACTCATTGCTTTTCATCTGCCCCAATGTCATTTGCCTGGGGGAGAAAAAATCCCATTCTTTCCATGTACTGGGCCCAGTCTTCGGCAGGATCGAACGAGTCATGCTTCCTAATTAACTTCATGATGCCAGAAATGCTCATCCAACTCAAAGATGATTGTTGTGAGCAAATTTCTCCAGGAGTGTATTGTTTTTTCTCATTGCCACTGAAACAACTCCAGAGGCCAGTATCCCATCACTAAGTCGCCCTTTATTTAAATGTGTTTCGTGCTTGGTTTCCTCAGATCCAGCTCTCAGAGTGAACAAAATCTCTGACACTTCAGTTTGTATCTGTCAGCTAGGGCTGCCTGATTGGAACAGGTTAACAGCCCCAATCAGGGAACTCATATTATACGAGTCCACATGGCTGACCTCCATTACAATTACAATAAACTATATATCTAGGTCATATTGGCAGGCACTTAAGAGTCCACACGTAACATGGGGCTAGAGTTGCATGTAGGCAACAGTGGCAGATTTCCTTTCATTCCTTTTGAACATTGAGTGGAGTGGTTTAATTTCCACCTTTGCAGATTTTATTCTGCAACTCATTGGGACAGGATTTGAATTCATGATCTTACGTTTGTAAGTTATATTGTAAATCACCACTTTGCACTATTTAGTCAGCTGTGTTTTATGACTTTCAGAAGTGGATACGTTATGGAAAGGACGTTGAATCATAGAAGATAGGAGCAGGAGGAAGCCGTTTGAGGCTGCTCCGCCATTCTTCACGATCAGGACTGATTGTCCAACTTAATAGCCTAATCCTGTTTTCTCCCCAATAGAAACATAGAAAATAGGAGCAGGAGGAGGCAAAGGACATACAATAAAATACCAACCACCTCTTTGGGCTCAGCAAACTCAACAAAATGAGACAAGTTTGCAAAAGAAAGATTTCCCAGAAGATTATAAGGGGGATTGTGTAATTAAAATCGTTACTGCATACTGGGGCTGATGAAAGAGCCTTGTCTTTCCAGATAATGTATTTTCCTGTAAATAATTGCTGAGAAAAGGTCGGTAAATTTAAAGGGCCTCCAATTAATTCTTGTGATCTCACAAAACATTTCTTTTTTAAGCTAATAAAGAAAGTCATTGAGATCGGTGATACTTCCTGCCTCCTGCCCATAATGGACATTTTCAAGTCAGAAGATCGAGACTTGATGCAGAAGCATTGTCATTCCAGTGCGATGTCAATCCTACAAAATAAGGAAGGTGACACACATGTAAAGGAAGCAGTGGCCTATCTCTCTCTGGCCATAATTTCATCAGGTTAGTGCCAGAGGTTGTTCTTTAGATTAGATGTGATCAGTGAGATGAAACTTAGTCAGGATTATAATAATAGTCTGAGAATGATGTGTGGGGATTGGGGGGCGCCGGGGTTGAAGAAATTTAAATTCTGAAAGTGAACCTAAGAAAGGAAGATTGGAAATTTCAGGGCTTGTAGCGAATATTCTTTAAGCAATTAAAAAAAAGAGTCGACTGTGACAAATTTATCAACATTTCTTAATGTTGCAGAACTTTATTAGATTTGGAGCATTGCAAATTGAGGAATAGTCATAGATCATTCACCACTCAATTCTGAATTGCCATTTGCTTGGGGTGTGGCTGATTTGAACCTCCATTCCATTTGTCTGATACAGTTAGCTAATAAAACTTTCACTTTCATTCTTGAAGGCTACAATTGTCCTAGTATTTACTGCCTTTGATTAGTTTTTGATGTCAAGTCCACCAATTAACCATCTTTCATCAGTAAAACATTGCTATCCTTAGCCCTTTACTGTTAAATTTCTCATGAATGCCTTTGTGACCTCCAGCCTGCTTCCATTCTAGTTCCAAGTTCCACCCTACAGAAACTCTTGACTCAAAATGACCTCCGCTGAATATGCTTCTTCTTGTTCAATATACTCATTCCCCTTGCCTACCTCCACTGGAGCTTCCACATCCCTCATTAGCTTGTTCTTATTTTCAAATCCATTTAGAAGGTGCATCTCGAGCAGGAACAGTAAATTCTATCTATATTTTGCATGAGGATATAAAAATAACCCCTTTGTTTTGTAATCATACAATGGTTACATTGCCAAACAAGGCCTTTTGGCCCAAAATGTGCAAGAGAAATTCAGCTAGTTCCACTCCCTGTTGTTTCCTTGCAGCATTTTCATTTGTTTTCTTCCTTCCAGTGCTTATCTAATTCCTGTTTGGAAGCCATAATTGAATCTACCTCCACCTCACTTTTACGCAGTGTCTCCCAAATTGTAATTGCTCCTTGCATACGAATGTTTTTCTTCATGTGTCTAGCTCTTTTGCCAGTCACCTTTAAAGGGTCCCTTGGTCCTAGCCCCTGACAGCAGTGGTAGCTGTTCATTTCCAACCACACTGCCTGAATCTCAATATATAATTTGTTAAATCAATTCTGATAAACGAATGTACATACAGCCATTGAAAGAGTATATATACCATGTCAGCTGCTTGTCCTCATCAATCATCCTGTTCTCTTCTCCAAAAAACTTAAGTCAGTTAACAAGATTTGTCTTAATCATGCTGACGTTGTTCAATTAATCAACACTCATCCAAGCAGCTGTTAATTTTTGGAGTTTAGAATCTCTAAAAGTATCCCCATCACCAATGTTAAATTGACTGGCCTATAATTTCTGGTTTATCATTGCACCTTTGCTCAAGAAAGAGTGTAACATTTGTAATTCACCAGTCTTTTGATTTTACCCCCATTTTTAAGGTTATTGAAGGTTATGGCTAGTACCACTTTAGTTTTCACCTTTCTATCCCTCAGCAGCTTGGGATACATTCTATCTGGATCTGGTGAATTATTTGCTATTAGTACAGCCAGCCTTTTCAGTACTTTCACTGTCAATTTTTAGCTCATCCACTATCTCAACTGCCTACTTGGACTATTTAATATCGTTCTCTTTACCGTACTTATTACCTCATTTCTTTAACTGAGAGCAGAAAAAGTATGTATAATTATATTTCAAGACTCAACATGGTCATATGAAAATCTTGGCTTGTTGCAGGGCTAAGACGAATAGAGATTGTCCATTCTGTTTTTGTTGGATTCAATGAAGGTTTGCTTGCCAGGACTCCAAAGTAAAAGTTTTGATTTGTAATCAAGAGTTTGGGAATTCCAGTGTTATAAAGATTCTGCTGGGGATTTCTAACAAATGTTTTTTCCTTTTTTGCTGTGTTCTACCCATTTTTATGTGAAACTGTTTCTCTGATGCTTTCTTTAAATGCCACCCAGTCTCTTCCTCAAAAGAGGCTACATGATATTAACTTAACCTCGATTCAATACTTTGTCATTTAAAGCTGTGAGAATTTTTGTTTTTAAAGAAACCTAGGTGAAGAACTCTGGTCAGTTAGTACCACATTCTGTAAAGGTTGAAGAGAGTAGAGAGAAGATGGGACAAATCTGGAAGTAGCATTTAAATGACACTGAATTTGTGTTTCAGTAGTCCTACCACAATTACAATCTCGTGCAGTATTTTCACAACTTGAAACATGTTGCTTATGTTGGAACAAGGTCCAGTTTGTCAAAGGCCCGTGGAGAGGTATTCCATAGCCCTCCTTGTCCGAGTCCTCCATGCCTCATTGGTATGAAGGACAATGCTGAACTTTCATCAGCGTGTGATCTGAATGTGATTGCTCAGAATACTAAGAACATAATCTGTTTCTGAAATTCCCCACAGAGATTCATTAGATCCAGCCACAGCACAGGTCGTCATCTCTGTGAATCTAGACATGGAGAAATTAACAAGGAACAAATCAGCTAGCAAGCTCAGGACCAGCAACAATCTCCAGAGGTTGCTGAACAATCTCCACATGAGGAAGTTGTAGCTGAAGAGCCTCTCAGGATGTGAAGGAGGTACAAGAAATCCAGAGTCTATTGTCCTCAATGCCATCTCCTCCAGATGGAAGAAGCACATTGTAACTGCAGACAGAGGATGTCCCGGGACACCTTCACAGAACTATGCCATCTAAAGGGTGGGTGATCATCCTATCCCAGCGGTCATCAAGGTGACAGCTGTGCTAACTTTTTTAAGTAGCTGGCTGCTTCCAAGGATGCACTGGGGATCTGTGAAGGATTTCTCAATCCTCAAATGTATCAAGGTTGTTATATAACAGGGTTTTATCTTGTTTCTTCAGAATGAGGTCATTACTGCAGCCTGGGCAATAGTCTTTGCCAACATAGCTGGCTGACCCCAGATATAGGGTGCTGGAGACTGTACATACAGTGTTGAGAGCACCATATTGTAATGCAACTGATTTTTTCAACAGAAAAGGGTTCATAAGTGTACAAGTTATCTGTGGTCTTCAGTATACATCTGTAAGTTTGCAGCAGGACCCTGGAAGCTGCCATGATGCCAGTATCCTGGAGTACTCTCATGCTGCTTAACTTTGAAGGGTCAAATGCCTTACAAGGATGGTTATGGGGGTACAAGGACTAATCTCTGCAACCATGGTTGACTGCGTTACGCAATCTCCTAACTGAAGCAGAGGATAGATACAGTGCTTCTTGTTCTTCCACAAGAGCTATCATGGAGCAGATGATAGGCCTTCTAAAGATGAGGTTCCAGTGCTTGTATCGGTTTGGGGGTGCCGTGCAGTACAGTCTAAATATAGTGTACTGCGTAATCCTTTCATGCTGTGCCCTGCACAACAGGACCAGACAAAAAGGGTATATGATAGATGCTGAAGAGCTGGGAGAGCAGCAGCAGTCTTCCAAGGTGTAAGGCGAGGACGTTGCAACACCATGAGCTCATATCTTCTCTAGTAACATTTTTGTGCCCCTTTAGTAAATGCCTTGTGAAAACCCAAACTCACTTGTTCCCCATGAACTGTCCTGCTTGTTTCTTTCCCAGTTAGTTGACCACGGTTTCCCTTTCACAGAATCATGTTGTCTCTGCCTAGTCGTATTATTATGTTATTCAATGTCTTGCTGTTACTTCCTGAATAATTGATCCTAGGATTTTCCCAATGTCAAGTTGAACTAACTACCATATTGTTTTCTGATTTTCTATCTGCCTCCTTTCTTAAATAGTGGTGTTTATATTTGCAGTTTTCCAATCTACTGGGAGCTTTCCAGAAACCAGATAATTTTGGAAGATAACCAAAGTTAATGGTATCTCTCCATTCATTTCTTGGAAGATCCTTGGATGCATGGATGCAAGGATCCAAGGAACTTATCAATCTTTAGCCCAGTAGTTTGTCCAATACCTTTTTTTCCCTTGTGACAGTGATTTGTTTTAAATTTCCTCCCTGCCTTTTCCCTCTTGGTTTTTCAGATTTCTTGGGATACCTTTTGTGCTTTCTACAGTGAAGAATGGTTCAAAATACCTGTTCAACGCTTCCTTGTTTCCCATTACTAGTTTCCCAATATCATGCCATAAGAGGCTAACAATTATTTCAGCTACCCTTCCTTTTAATATGCTTGTAGAAACTCTAGCCCATATTTTCCAGGGATTGGTAATCTCACACAGATTGCCAGTCTACTTTCCTTTATAAAGAAAAGCTCTGCCTTTCTGACGAGAGATTCCAATCAGAGCTCCTTCTGAAGTGCAGAGCCGTACGTCCATTCTGACAAGTCCCACACAGCATAGAACAGCCGAGGGAATGCAGATTATACCCCTTTGGTACAGTAGTCAGTTTCCATTCCCTGAAACATAAAGGTTCAGAATCACAGCTATTTTGATAGCTCCTGTGCAAAGGGAACTACATAAGATAATTGTGAGGGTAGGCTGCCAGGTGCATAGGGTCCAAGGTGTCAAGAGTGCCAGGTAAGTGATTAAGTGTTTTTAGGGTAAATTGGAGTGAGTGGGAGATATTGAGTCGTGTGTGTAGTTTAAGTTTGGGAGTCACTTTAATCGCTGTTCAGGGATTAGACTAGAAAGAAAACCATTTACTTCAGAACTCTCCATATTTTCTGATTTTAAATGGATATTTTGAGAGTTTTATGTTTGGGGAATTGCCCAGTGGAATCTACAATTTCTTGGGCAATTGCTTCAGAATTTACTACAGTAGGGATTTCACAGAGTCCATATGCATAACTCCCATCTGTACTACGGAATCTGGTATCTGGCCTTTGGAATATCTGGGCTTCTGATTTTGTATTTCTAGCTGGCTTTCTCTTTTATTTTTCCTTTTTATGGAAAAAGTTATTCTTTGCTGGTTTCTAAAAGTTGTCCAATCTTTTGACTTGCCACTAATCTTCACAGAACTGCATGTGGTTAAATTCTATGGTTAAGTTATAGATATTGCAT